CTTTTCAAAAAGGATGTTTTTTCTTGAAGTTCTCTTTTGTTAAAAAAAAAAAAAAAAAAAAAAAAAAGGACTCCAGTATAGTTGAATCTGTTTATAGACTATGGCAGTTAGCCCCATGAGTCACCAGAAACAGAGAGAATAACATTTTAGTTTATTGCCTAGAGATACCTGCAAATTAAAAAAAGAAGGTCGGGGGAGAGGAAGAGAGAATCAATAGCCAGTGTGTTATATTACGAAAAAGGGGAAAAACTAGAAAGTTATCTTTTGATGTATGATTTAACACTGTGTTAGTAACTAGACAAAGTTCTTTAAATGTACAGCTGCCACGGAACCAGCTTTGAGTTTAAATCCTGCCTTCACAATCCATCCCTTTCTACTCTCTGTATCCTCCAATTGTCTTACTACTACTGGGTGTGGAGGAAAGGGGAGAGAGAGGAGAGAAGGGAAATAATACTTGTCAATGGGATTTCCTTTACTGCTTTTACATGACAGTTGATGCAGCGACAGGACCTGATCCAAAGCCCACAGCAGTTGATAGAAAGATCACCATCAAAACACAAAAGGCTTTGGATCAGGACCTCACTGAGATCTTGAGCTTCACTTAAAAAGAAAACAAACAAACAAAAGCAAAAACCAGAAAACAAACCCCCCCCCAAAAAAACCAGAGCCCCACCCCATTCAAAATCCATTAAATTTATATCCATTTTATATAAACAAAGTGTCTGCTCTATAACCAGGAGCCAAAGACCAGAGCTCTGAATTTCCAGCGACTCGGAATGTATAGTTAGAGAAAATCTTTTTTTTTTTCCTTGCAGCTAAAATTAACTTTTATAATCCAACTCTTCCCATGGTTGAATGAGGCAAAGTAAAGCATTCCAGACACAAAACCACCCTTGCAACTGTGAAATTTAAAGGCAAACCATTAATTATATTTACAATGCAATACACAGATTCCTTGGGGGCTACTATACATTTGGCTAGTTTTAGCCACCAGTAAAAACCTATTTTTATCTCCAAATTTCATATTCACACAAAATGCTTCACACCTAGAGAGCTGCCTGTTATAAATCTAGAAAACAGTCTTTTGTTACATACAATAATGCTACACACAGTTAAAAAGAAAACAAGCCACCACTAAAAGGATAGAACTTCAGGGGTTCTTTTAAATGAAAAAGAAAAAGAAGGGTGGGAAATAGTTCTTTTCTGCTGCTTTGAAATAAGCTGGCCACATAAGAGAGAACATGTACTTTTAAATTTTTCACTACCAGCTTAAAAATAAAACACACATATGTAGGTTTATTAAAACTAGTCACATCCACAAAAAAGCAGTATGCGTCACCTTCTCAAGTTTGAGAGATCACTCAAGGAACACAAGAAGGAGAATCTAACAAGTTAAAACTATTAATAATATACAGGTCTTCTTTGGTCATCAATTCTGCTGTTGACTTATTAAAGCTTTGCTATGTTTTAATCTGCAGTGTAGATATCTCTTGGTGAAGCATAAAAGAGACTGCCTGAATCTCTGACCTTTGCAGGGTATAGGATTAACAAGGAGGCCTGACTCTCACAGAGATAAAGCTGTACCTTTTCCCCACTGTCAAAAAATGAGGGCAATTGACTGCAATCAGCAGTGAATGTGTGCTCTCTAATACTGCCAGAGACCTGCCAATCACTTGCTACCCCTTTAAAATGGTTTGGGGGACAGTGTAGTGTGCTTAGACAGTACACAGCTTGAATTGCAGTCAAGTTCAGGCAGAACAGCAATGGAGGCAAACCAATTCCCCATTTTCCCCATGTTATGGTTAATTCAAGGCTTGTGCATAAAACATACTTAAAGCAGCCTCAAATTCTTTCCACTTAATACTGTCTCCTTTCCTCTTCTTTCCCTCCTACCCCCAATTTTTAATGCTTTAATTCTGGAAAGGTAGACAATGTTAAGGTATTTGAAAGTATTTTAAATTTAACAGAAGTAGGGTACACATTGCTGAAAGATTTCTTAAGTTGTTTATTTTGAGCTGTTTAATGAAGAGCAAGGCCTTATGCATCTTCTTGGCCTAATCCTGCAAAAGCAGGGCTAGCCATCAACTCTCACTATCATCCTTGGAAATTGGATGTTCTCAGAAGTTCCTCACAAGAGGTGCTGAGCACCTTTGGATTGGATTCACATTGGCAGCAGCAGGCTTTGCTTACAAATAATTTGCAGAATTATCAAGAAAGGTTTGCATAGAGATGATTAAGCAGAAGCCTGCCTACCCCCAAGATCTGTGAACCTCTTTGACAATCAACAGTAAACTAAATAAGCTATTGCTGCATCTCTTTAGAAAGATTCTTAACTGTAATTCAGATGGCTGACAATGTACGAGAGATGACCCTATCAACTGAGATTCATCTGTCCAGAGACCAAAACGTAGAATGTTTATACTTTGAAATGAATCTGTTTAACTACTGTCCTTTCACACCATCAGAAAGGTCCACCTTGAGTACTGATTCCCACCTCTTAGTCTAGAAATAGAACAGCAATTGCTCTGAACATAGCTCTGTCAAGACTATCCATAGCTATAACAATTAGAGGCAAGACTCCAGTTTGGTAGCCATATCACATTTCTTGTTAGTATTTCAGCTTTAAATAGGCATCTAAGTCTGTGCCTCAACCAATCTCCTAATTTTGAAGCCTCTTCTCTGCCCTTTTGGTTTCCAGTTCTTCCATGACAGAACTATCCAAAGGGAGTATAGGGTTTCTCCAACAAAGCGTAATTCATTTCTTAGGCCATGGAAGAAACCTGACCTCCTCACCACAATCAACAATAATCGAGCCATTAGGACTCTCCAGAAACTTACTAATCACTCCCTTTTACCCTTTTGATCAGATAGCAATTTAGAACTTACCCCTCCTTCCACAGGACTCGCTATCCACCCGAGTTCTCCCTGAACTGATCTGGAATCCAACAGGGTAACTGCAGGAAGGCAGAAATAAAATAAGTTAATTTTCAGTTGCCAGAAAAGTCAATGTGAGTAAAAGTATTTACCCAAGTGTTTCCATATGTGCAGTGAGATCATATCCAACATAAAGAAGAAAAAAAAACCCCAAGTTTTGGTTTAAGTGTTTTACTTCAATATCTTTATTTACTTTATCTTTTCTTAGCTTTAAGCTTGAGATGCATTTCATTTACAGTACCTTAAAAATGTATTCTGAGGACAGTGCTTTAAGACAGTTGGGGCCTCCCCCACCAACACCCACCTGTTATAAAAAATCATTCCCAACTAAAAAAAAAAAAAAAACCAACCTAAAAGATATTAGCTACGTTGAAAAAAAGCTCCCAGATCATATCCAAAAATTACTATATCTATTTGATATGGTCCTTTACATAGGTGACTACACAGTGGCAAAGGTTAGAAATGTAGTTTATTAAGATTTGGTATGATCACACACTTCTACCCTTTCAGCGCGGCAGAGCTGCAAGTGATTTTCAAAGGGATTCCCTCCAAGACAAAATGAACACCTTTGTTCCTTCTGTTCGCTACTACCATTTACGATACTCATGTCAATATTTTTAAAAAGGAGGGAACCATGATAACCAGGACAGACGCAGGGCCCTGCAGCATATCTGAGCCATCGCAAGTGCTGCAGATAACACGTTCTCGCAATTGAGATGCTTTCCTGCCCTTGAAGAAAAACACCTTTGCTTCCTCCAACATATGTTGAGGTCACCCTGCTTCCCCTTCTCTAGCCGCAAACACGCAGGAAGCCAGGGTGCAAGAAGAATCCTAATCCTAATCCTACGTGCAAGAAGAACAACAACAAAAGTGTGGACAAGGCGATTTTAAATGCCCGGCAGCCCAAGCCTGAAGCGCCTTGCACCTCTCTGGACTCCCAGTCAAGGGAGCGGGCTCTGGGGCTGTGCGGGGATCATTTGCTCCTAGCATGAAGTGTATTAAGTGAGCCAAGACAGACCCAGAAATCCCCTCCCCTCCCAGCCTCCCCCCGCCCCGAGGAAAAAAAGCCCACTAATTTGTAAGAGCCGGCCTGAAGCAAAGTGCTCAAGGCGGACGAACCCCACTACTAACGGGGACCAGCCCAGCAGCCTGACCAGCCCAAACCCAGTCGAAGGGCCTGCCGGGGACCTCCTTCGAGACCAGCCCGGTCACCTCACCCCCCGGCCCGGACAGAGGGGCGCGGGGCAGGGGCAGGGCCGAAGCGGGCTGGGACTCCTCGCCCCCGCGCTCTCCGGCGCCCTACGGACTCGCGTCGGGGCGCGGAGACAGAGGCAACACCAGGGCTGGGGGAGGCGGCGGCGGGGACGAGGGGGACCCAGAAGCGGCAAGA